ACTGCGGGCGCTGTGGGTGCTGAATTCTCCGCTGCCGCCGCGTGGATTGCCCGCGTAGATGCCCTACTTGGGAGCGGAAGATTCACACTCATACTTTGACGGGGCTATTTCCAAAAGGAAACGGGACTTTCAGCAAAGTGATGTTGATCTGTTGCGCGACAGCCGCGGCGGCGCGTCCGAATTGCCGAGCCACGTCCTGCGCTCGCGCCGTGAATCCTCCGTCAAGGGGCATCTGCGACTCGCTGAAAACATGTCCAAGGATAACCGGTTGCCAATGCAGCGCGACCCTGATTACTCGAGCAAATGCATCGCGGGGCGGATATGGCAAGGAAAGCAAAAATCCCCCCGCCCCCCGCCCCCCGACCGAGAGCCCTGGCCCCGCGACCCCAGGGCTTGACTGAGGCAGACCGCGGCCGCTACTAAAGCGAGAAGGCGGCTTTAGTAAAGCGGCGAAGCGGTTTAACCCAAGCGAAGAAACGGCTGCGCTACTGCGAGGAATCGGCTTCAGCACAGGCGCGCCGTTCAATGCATCAAAAAAACCACTACCAAAGCAGAGAGAAAGCTTTTGTAAAGCGGGCACGGCTGGGGCAAAACTGCGCGCAGACAACTTCGCCCCTGGAATAAAATCTGGCGCGGGACTCCAGGAACGAGGGCGGGGCGCAAGTTCGCCCGTGGGTCCGGGCCCTATCGCCGCCGTCGCCGTGACGCTCGACGTCGCCGCCGTCGTCGTTGCCAACGTCGTCGTCGCCGTCAGCGCTGACGTCGCCGCCGGCGTCGCCGTCGCCGTCGCCGTCGCCACGACGCCCGCGCATTCGCGCCATTGCCAGCGGACGGTCGCTCGCGACCACGCGCGATGGCGCTCGCATTTCCGCTTCTCCGCGTGGACATCGGCATTTTTCTGTGCTCTCATAACAATTCGAATTAATGACGGGCGAAGCCGATGAGGGCGATGAAATACCCGCCCAGCTTGACCCATGCCTCTGGCCAGATGCCTGCCAGGCGCCGTCGGACGCGGCGCAGGGCGCTGCTGCCGTTGATGCTGGCGCGGGCGCAGGCCACGATACTGCCGAAGCTGGAGTCGGCTGGCCCGCGTTCCAGGGATCTCTGCGCTGCGCGGGGTCGCCGCTGTCGGGCCCCAGAACCGCGGGTTCGGACGTTCCGCGGGCGCCCCTGGTCATCCAGACCGAACGGGCCCCTGGTGCCAGTTATTGGGCGACTGGTGCAGGTGCTCCGCGGTGCATGCCCCAGATGCGCGAACGGTGGGAACGCTGGCGCATGCGCGGCGGGGGCGCCGCTGAGGCCGGGGCGCGGGCGCGACGGGGGCGCCCTCGCAAGTGCCGACGGGGCCATCGCGCACAAAGTGCTCATCTGAATCGCGAACGCGGCACTCGAGACGGAGCCCGCCGAGCTTGGCGGCCAAATCTCAGCCCCAAAATCCGACGCCTGCCCTTTCCGTTGCCCCAGCCCTGCCAGAAGCCGGCGAAGGTTCCGCGGAAGTGGCTGTCGGCAAGAATGGCTGGCGGCCAGGAAGGCGCGGCGGCCTACTTCCGTGGCCCTCCCCCTTGCGCCCGCTGACCCCCCGCGCGCGGCGCGCGGGCATGTCGCCGCCGAGAAGGCGCAATCGAGGCTCGGCTCGCTCGTCGGCCCAAATGATGCGCGCCGCGCTGTCCCGCGGGGATCTCGTCGCCGAATGATGGTGCCAGAGTCGGTGCCCGAGTCGAACCCCGCTGTTGGACGCGCCGCCCGCGGCCCAGCCGATGCGTCGGCGTTGGCGGCCAACGGCGCCGAGGATGGACTCGGCGCAGCTCCCGGGGCTGAAGGACCCATGCTAGCCCGGCTCGATCTGGCCCCAGTGCCACAGGCACTTTGATTCTGATCGCGCGCGGGATCGCCCGCGATGAACGCCGAGGCGGCTGGGCGAGCGCATTGCCGAGGCGAGAGTGCACGGCGAGTCTTTCATCTCATGTCCATATCTGCGTAGCTGGCCCTCGCGCGCGCAAGCCGTGGCGCGGCTGTCGGGCAGGCCGCGCTGTAGTGCTGCAGGATCATGACGAGAAGGGCGCTGCCACGCAGCAGGGTAGCTGAGGCCCCCGTAGACGATCACAAATTTACCGGCCTGCTGCGCTCTGCCGCGGAGGATGTCGAACCTGGCGAGGAGGCCGCGCGTTCCTGCGGCTGCCCGTTGACATTCATCAGAGCCGACACCGCCTGCCCACGTCCCCCCGGGCCCCGCCTTCTGGGAGAGCTGCGCGCGAGGTAGGTCCTGGGCGCCGTTGGCGCGGCCACTTTGGATGGGCACAACTGGCGGTCACTCGCCCACGCGCTCGCGAGCCCCGTTGGTCATGCGAACGAGACGTGGGCCGCCTGGCGAAACTCGTTGGGGTCTGATTTCGCCGCTGACCAAATCGTCCAGCCGCGCCCACCGATGGAAATGCACGCGAGCCTGCTGTTCGGATGCGGAGGCGTCGCACGTTGTTACACTGCCTCCGCCGCCCGCGCCGACGCTGGCCATGCAGCTGACGGCAGCGACTACGCCCGCTCCGACGGTCTTCAATCCCGAGTGGGGCCCCCGTCTAGGCG